TATATATATATTCATTGTAAGTCGATTGCTGTTTATTAGCAATTCAAATTTTAAAATGTTTAAATTGTGCAGTATGTTCTGTGATATTTGATTCTTGACTAAATGTAGCTAATACATTTACCAGGCCCTGTTTGATATCCGCCTACAAGATTTATCTTCCCAATATTGTCTCCATATTGCCAATAGATCTCTTCCTCCCTAACAAAATTAGTATGTTTTCATACATAAAATATATATGATAGTGATAATCTACTCTGTTGTCATTTTTTAAAGTTAAGTTTAAGTCGTTAATCATGTATAAAATTATTGCTATCTGATATTATCGTTTTTTTAAAGAGATATTTATGTCTGCTCCTCAAAAATTGAAAAGACACTAAAATTTACATCCATCACTGGATCGTCACTAACACATAAAAATTTCTTCCATGTGACTTGATTAAACTTTCCTATAAGTTTCATTTACATCCACTGAACGGTTTTTGAAATATCCGTTGTAGACTGTTTAACCTTAAATCACTTTAATTGGTCCTCACACGCACACCCCATCATAGATTGACACTAAATATTATGAGGCAAATCCTTGATATATGGCCTATGCTTTGGCAAAGCACGGAAAAATTCTAAGCATGGAAGTGACCAAAGTGACGGCCAGAAAAAACAGTGCAAAAACATAGGAAAAATATATGCAACTTAAGACTAAAAAAAATCAGAACAAAAACAATGGCTTTTCCCAGTACTGCTGGGGAAAACCAATAAGCATAGGCCTAATAATAATAATATTTAACTATTATTATTATTATTATTATTATTATTATTATTATTATTATTATTATTATTATTATTATTATTATTATTATTATTATTATTATTATTATCATCATCACCACCATTACTACAGTGTATTATTATTTAGTAGTCGTATTCAGTATTCAATTTCGATTCAATTGAATTGTCATTTGGGTAATGCGTAATCGCAATCGCTATTCATTTGGGTAATTCCGTGTCGTTTGGGTAGTTGTCGTCTGGACCGAGTTGGTTTTGGTCCGAGTTGCACGGGTTTGGACCGAAGTGTCGGCTGGGCCGAGTTGGTGCTGGTTCTGGGCCGAGTTGGTGCTGGTTCTGGGCCGAGTTGGTTTTGGTCAGAGTTGGTTTTCCGGTCCGAAGTGTCGGCTGGGCCGATTGGTTTGAGTCGAGTTGGTTTTGGGCCGAAGTGACCAGCATGTTGCATTATGCAGACTAATGTGATAGTGTTTCTTGCACTTTATTCATGAAGGAATAAACCTCTCATTTCATTTCATTGATAATAATATTATTATAAAAAATATATATATTATATATATTTTTTTTATCATTTTCGCAATACACTGTCTTATTCACATTATTTGAAAAACGCATTGAAAATTTGCCCATTTTTTTCCATTGACTTGGGGGACCGTCTTTGGTCTTGTCACCCTCCCATAGTTTGAGCGATTTAAACGTCAACAATAATTTTAGCCTGAACATTATTCTCATGAATGGCCCTTCCCCCACCCCTAAAGAAGAAAAAAAAGCTGCTGCCTATTTACACTTTTTGCCAGCTAAAAGCACTCTACAGGGCCGGATCAAGAGATGTCCGAAAAAGTGGGAAGGGGGGGGGCGAAAGGAGGCCGAAAGGGGACCGATCGACATAACACCACCCCCAAATCCTCCCCTGCTCTTCTAACTTGTTAATGGTTGTTGGATTAAGGGACGTCGACGACCATCGCTCCCTATGTATCCGCCCAGAAAATAATCATTCTGTGAAGCCCAGTCGGCCAAATGCTGCAGGTGTTGCCATAACGGAATATTCTACAGCGTAATATTGAATACTGCTTCGTCTTAACTGTGATTGTAGAAAGATCTTTGCAAATGAATATCAAATTACTTTTTAAATTAAAAACATGAGCCAAAAACAATTTTGTTTATGTTAAAGAAGCAGGTAAGATAAGCCTATCTCTCCTGGTAATATAATGGTAAAAAATATATTATAAAAGTACATGATAAAATGTTGTGATGGATGATGTCTGTAGACATTCCTTATTCATCACATATTGAAATTATTTTAGTGATTAACATGGTCATTTTATAATATATTTTATTCCATTATATTACAGGAACTCCTGTATAAATAATGTAAGTTTAAATGAATTAGGGAATCTTCTGTCTTGTCACACTCCCATCTTTCGAGAGACTTAAAGCCAACAATAAGGCCTTAAAGAAAAAAAAGCTGCTAACTATTTACTAAAAATATGTACATTTTTTTTTGCCAGCTAAAATTTAAAAACATGTTTAGGGTGGTGGGTGGGGGGACGACCATCGCCGCCTATGAACCCACCCAGGTGTAGCATTTAAATAATCATTTTGTGAAGCCCAGTCGACCTATAATTTATAAAGACCTTTGCAAATGAAAGTCAAAATACCTTTTAAATAAAGAAGAACATGAGCCAATAATAATTTTGTTTATAATGATAAAGCTGGTAAGATAGGCATAGGCCTACTGGTAAAGAATATGGTTTAAAAAAATGGATTATACAATACATGCTAAAATTTGACGGATGTAGACATTCCTTATTCGTGTCGTATTGACTTGTTTTAGTGATTAACATGGTCAGGAGTTTATAATAATTTTATTATATTTAGTGAACATATACGTGTTTGTATCAGCCGCGATCAATGTACGTTCCACTTACCTATTCTCTGCTGCTCCTTTCACCGTACTGTACTAACGTAATTTGAATAATGATTTCTCACATTGTTGTTTTTGAAGCGTGACAAGTCCTCGTTCAATATCTTTGTAGATTCGTAAAATTGTTTTTTATGATATTTCAATAGGCATAAACAGGAGCTCAAAATATGCCAGTAATAATAAGACATTTAAAAGAATGGTGCTACGATATATTTCTTCCAGAGCTGTGCACGCGTCTGAAGGCAAATTGGCACAAACATCAAGGTCTTAACTCAATTTATAATATATATTGTCAATAAAGTGGTATTCGGAAAGTAGTTCCACTCTCATCTCAGCGGCGGTGCCAGAAATTTACCGACAATGGGTCAGACATATCCAAAGAAGGGGTCAGAACCAAGGGGCCGACTAGAGCCTCAGTCGACGGCCGGAATAAAAAAAAATCCTGGTAGGATTCACGGGGAGAGTTTTTATGGCTTACTATGTTCTAAATTGGGCTTTCAGACCACAATATTAGAGATTAGCGTGTTTTTAATAGGCAAATATGTATATTAAAAATTTTTTTTTGATCAAACGACCTAGTCGTGGCGTCGGACGATAGGATGTCCAGGCCTGTTAAGTGGGGGAAAGGAAAAAACCTCTCCCCACTCTTTATCACCAATAATAAATTTAATGTCACGTAATTCTAAAATGGAAAAACACCTCCATAAAAATAATTTTATTTGAAAAAAAATAGGTAACGAAATGATAATAATGACAGCATTTATTCCGTCGGATCTGTAGGCTTTTTCCATTCAGAAACGAACACAAATTTAGAGGACATAAGAGCGATACCCTCAAAAGAAAGTATTACTTAGGAGACCACTTTACGTTTTTGTTTTTGTTTATGTTTTGTCTTGTAAGTTTACCGGTAAAATCCTTTTTGATCTGTTTCTGGTTGGAAGTAATAGTTTATTAATTTTGAATGAGCTATTCCAAATTTTTGAGATTTCACCCAATTTGTTTGGCAGTACCTTTTTAAACTTTAACAGGCCTGTATTACAGGCAACATGTATGAACATACAACTTACCTTTTTTGTGAGTATTTTGCTGAACACATGTAAATTGTCTACGAATCAAAAGCTCTCTCCGTTTTCTCTTTGTTAAAATCAATTATTTTCAGAGTCTTCTGTTTCCTGTTTACTCCAGTGTGTTAAGTCAATGTCTGCTACTAACATTTGAATTATTTGTGAAATTGACTATTGACTGATGTAGCAAATACATTTACTGCACGTTTTAGGCTATTCCATATTAATAATAATATTGCCCACAGGACATCGAGTTAATAGTAGTGAAAAGAACTGTTGTTTTTGTTGAGAGGTCTCCCGTTTTGATTGAGGTACTTCAGGCTCATCTGGAGAATAATTTGCATAATTTGAAAATACTTCGATGCAAAACAAAAATGTGCTTTTCGCACGGAAATGCGCTATTCTATTACAAGAAGCCTTTTATGACTAAACCTTCTAAAAAATTGTTTTCAAGACGTGCTATTTTTTAAGAAAGCATTAACAAATTATGAAAGCAATTTCTAAAGTGTAGATTAAAATAAAAAATGGGAGTCGACAATATTGTCATTTTTTTTTTAAATCGGCTTTTCACCAAATTTGATTTCGAAAAAAAAATAAAGGCTCATTAGATATTCTATAAGCCTCCGTATGCATGCACACATCTATTACTTTTTTATCTATTTGTATCAATCGTTTTATTAGGTATTTAATCTGATATATCGTTTGCGTTTGTGCTGGTTTGTTATTTAGTGTATGTTCATTTGGCCAGGGCTTAGAGGATACCCTCACCTTGTGTTGGGCTCTTAGAGTCTTCTTGGCACACCTCTAACCATTTTCGGATTTGTAAGTGTTGTGCCGAATATGTAATAAATAAATACATTTCCCATAAATTTATGATATTTGGATATTTTACTAGTGTATTGCCATTTATCTCCAGGAAGGCAGCTGGTAAGTATCACCACATACAGTAAAATAAATTACTGCACATTTAATATATGTCTCAGAAGTAGACTAGCTTTCAACTTAATATAAAAGACAGAACATATTTGACTTAAATTTCCAAATAACTACTTTACTTTTCCCAAGTATTTTATTTCACACAACATTGAATGCCGTACAAAATGTATTTACAAATACATAAGATGTCAAATACATAGGCCCTAAGAAATTAATTACAATGTAATTATATGTATACGACAATACCGTAAAACCTCAGCAGAAATGCAGTTTCCATTTAGTGAGGAGTACCTTCTAATGATATTTTGAGAGCAGCTTAGTTCAGTCCGCTAAGGTGGCAGTCACTGTATGTGTGCTGAACTGAGATCTTCACATACCCTTGGTCTCCCTTTCGATTCCATCACAGCTCTTCTTGTTTCAAAAATCCGGAGGGCTGAAGATATCAATAATGCACTTTCCGAGTAACGTTTTAAGCAATTGGTCCATTTGCACGTCAAACAACACAGTGCTCTTTTCGGAAAAGAGTAGGGAATTTTCTCCCTGTGTAATAGGCCTACTGTCTAATGTAAAGATGATAGAAAATTTCCAGGACAATTTGCAAATATCATATTCCTTGATAATCATATTGTTTCAGGTTTGTTTCTAAGTTCCTAAATGTGTACAATAGTAGGTGTGTTCTTTTTTATCTTACATCTGCTGCAGTAAACATCACAGAATGCTCGTCTGAAATTGTAATTTATTACATTATATATTACAGGATTTACCGATGAATTTATATAACCCATGAGATGGAAAATTGTCAATAATGATGCGTTGATTTTGTAATTTAATATCATATATATGTAATATGGTGCCATACAAACAACATAAACCGTAACAGTTACAAATGCTGTCAGGG